TAAAGCTCTTGCCTAGCATGCATGAGGGCCTGGGTTTGATTCCCAGTACCAAAATAAAGAAAAAGGTGAAACAAAATCCAGGGAAGAAGTGTGGGCTATGGTCAGCTTTAAGTTCAAATCCCAGAATTGAATATACCAGTTGAATGACCTTGGGAAAATTATTTAACACTTTTTTCATTATTTTTCTGGAAAATGAGGCTAACACTTCCACCCCCATATAGACAATTGGAGCAATTAGTAAGTGCTCAATAAATATTAGTTCTCTTGCCCCCCCTCTGGAGAAAGTCTTTATGCAAATGGTATTCTCTTATATACCATTTTTCTATTAAGGAAGTACATGGCCTTCCTGGACAGAGAGAAAAGGCATGTAATGCTGTCCCTTACCTCTCAAATTCTATTATGCTATACCCTAGGTGAGTTGCCCTACCTGTGAACATAATGTAGCTACTCTACCTTTCTAGCAATGATTCTGAATAGTTGTTTCACCTAATATACACTGTAGAAATCTACATTTTATATTTATATATATATGATATATATTATATATATATCATATCATTTCAATTTGATTTGCCTTGAGGATACTATGACTAAATTGTGTTTTGCCAGGAAAGGTGGTGAAAAACTTCTTTTGAAGTAGAAAAAGGCCTTTCCCAGTCATCATTTTAATTTTTTAAATAATAATTTAGACGACATATTTGTCCAATCAAGTATGCTAATCTACCTTGTTCTAATCTATCATGTTCACCTGATAAACACAGGTAGCAGAGCCAATGATAGTAAACTCTTAGAGCAGCTGCCCCATTTTCTCTAGTTCCCATAAATGGGGTTCTCTCAAGTTAAAGAGTCAGCTCAGTCAACTTTCTAAAGTGTGCCTACAACTATCCATGCACTACATATTAGAGGAGGAACATTTTTACATTTTTAAGTGTTTGTTAATGCTAAGCTTTTAGGTATTGGAGAATCAAGGAAATGCAAGCAAGGTGAATATATAACTATACAACTAAAGTGCATGGCCTGAGAGTAACCACATTAGTCATGTTGGTCATCCACATTTAATTCCTCAAAGATCAGCATAATCTAACAGCAGAAAGCTAAATATAAGCCCTTCAGGGCTGCCACACTGGAAAAAGAGAATGCAATTCAAACAGAAAACAACTAGTGGAAGAAATAAAGAAAATTAGAATATTACAAAGTCAAAATGAAACGAAAAAAATTCAGTGGTATCAAATGCAGCAAAGAATTCAAGAAACAGAAGTAGCAGAAAGTGATTTGATCAGGAGGAAGTTAGCAGTGGTTTCTGAGGTTAAGTGGTTTCTGACTGGGCAGGTAGTTTTTTTTATATAAATAGTGGCTTTATAGAAGGAGAGATTTAAATCATCTTATTTCACAGAATATTAAAGAGTCATTGTAATTACACTCATTCATTTATTCATTAGCTTTGACTGTGCTCTTACAAGTGCCTAACTCTGCTAAGCTAGAAGGGAAGTAAACCTAAAAAAATATATAAAACCTCAAAGTAGTTTATGTATGTTGTGAAAAAAAGCAAAAAATGGCATTTGAATCTTGTTAGATTTTTCCTACAAACACAAAAACCCACATAGAATAGTCCAAAGGAACCAAAAGTTTCCTCGGTTTCACACACACAAAAAAATGCTTATATTGCCTTGCATCTCAATTTAACAGATTTGTTTGGCCACATCACTAGCAAAGTAACCATTTTGGATTCTGACAGAAAGTTAAAAACAGCAAGTCTCAAAAAATCTTGTGTGAGCTCTGAGGAAAAACACAAATGGTATTTATACCTTGTATTAGGCACTTATTTCTATAAAAATGTGATGCCCACCATATAAAGCCATCAACCCACATGTAATAGACCATGGAAAGCTACCAAGCTTTCCACATTTTCAGAAAATATACCTACAGATCTCTGCTTTTCAAAGTGGAGCTCAGAGCCACCTTGCAGGTAGAAATCTGGTGTCTGGAAATAAGGCAACCCACAGGATACTTTTGGCACATCAAAGAATTATTTTAAATTTAAATATGGATATATTGTGGAATAAAATATAAAATTTGCCAGACTTTTATAAAACAAAACTTCAAAGGAATTTCATTATGAAGATCAAAGTTCAGGCCTGCAACACTGAGCAAATCCATTCCCTCTGCCACTGGGGATGTCACCACAGAAAGATGTATATGTGTACTGCATTCCAGTGGAAACTCTTAATGCTTAATTTAGATCAACAGATAGAATCTCTAACCAGCTATTCTAATTAGCAAATTATTAAAGATACATCAATTTTTCATTGCACCAGTTATAATCAGGTGAAATCAATGTACTCATTACCTTCAGATTTAAGGTTTACACACCAGTAATTACATACACAAACATCAGATGAAAAGGACTTTTGGAACTGACTATCCAAAATAAACTCACTTTAAAAACAAACCAATGTTTATTGCAGCACATTAACAATAGCCAAGTTATAGAACCATCCCTGGAGCCCATAAACAAGATGGATAAAGAAAATGAGATATAGATAGATGATATAGATAGAATGATAGCTATACATAGACACACACACACACACACACACACACACACACAATGGAGTTTTTTACTCAGCCATAAAGAAAAATTAAATTATGGCACTTGTAGTAAATAGATGGAAGTGGAGAACAACTTGCTAAGTGAATGAAATAAGCCAAGATTCTGAAAGTCAAGGATCAAGTGTTTTCTCCCATATGCAGAAGCTAGAGCAAAATAAGGAAATTTTAAAAAGTGAACCATAAAAACTTAATGGAAAACAGTGGAGTATAGGAAGCAGATTGAGGATGAAGGAAAAGATGAGAAAGGGAAGGATCTGTGAAATGAAGCTTTAAAAAATCGAAAAGACTATGGGAAAGACAGTAGAATGAATTGGACATTACTTTCCTATGTTCATATACCAATACAGGACTCATGTAATTCCACATCATGTACAACTGAAAGAATGGGAAGTTATAATCCATGTACGTGTAACATGTCAAAATACATTCTACTGTCATGTGTAACAAAAAAGAACAAATAAAAAATTTTTTAAAAAATCGTGTTGTGTGCATTTAAGAACATATCATGATGAGTTCCACCCTTTATGTATAATGTAGTAATTTTTTTAAAAAGCAATGAGTAAATAAAAGGAGGGCCAATGGAGAAAGGAGATTAGGGAGAGGAAGAATAGGTAAAGGGAAGTACCAGGGAATAAAATGGAGCAAATTATATGTATGCATGTACATGACAAATTGAACTTCCCCCCATTATATATAATATAACTATAATGTACTAATAAAAAAAATGAATCTACCAGAAGTGTGATGTGCAGTGTTTTTTCCACTCACCATATTTTAATTTTCTTTAGTTATTTTCCATTTTAATGAGAGAGGCTGGGGATGTAGAAAGCTTAAATAGTATGTGAGCCCTGGGGAAAACCTTCAAAGATTTTTCAAAGGGTTGAGATTGTAGCTCAGTGGTAGAGTGCTTGCCTAGCATGTGTGAGGCACTGGGTTCAATCCTCAGCATCACATAAAAAAGTAGTTATTTTGTTCATCTACAACTAAAAAACTAAGGTTTTTCAAGGTTTTCTAGTGAAAAATACCTGTTTGAAAATTGCTAATGAGCCTCCAAATTTTTGCTTCCTTACCTTCACTAATCCCAAGAGACAGAAATCTGATTTACTACATTTGTAGTCACTATTTTTCAACTGTTTTCTTATCACTCTTCTTGTGTCACAAAAGCCACTCACCAAATGTTCTAATGGAGAATGCCTTTTATGCAATAACTCCAAACATTTTGAGACATGTACCCACAATTAATTATGCTTACTTAATTAGTTTTGTCCATTTCATTTATAACAGTATTTGACTCTACTTACCATCTATTCTTGGACTATGTGGCAATCAGAAATGAAAGATTCCACTAATAGTTGAATAGAGAGACTCAAAACACTAGAAACAATTACCAAATTTCAAGTCAAATTTAAGTAACTATTAATTATTATACTAAAGATACAGGTTAAGTATTTCCCTTTATTGCTTTTTAATGCAAACTATACAAACAAAAAAAGTGATCTCTAGGAGAATGCTAAGCATATGGTATTTCACAAATGGAATGTAATCCTATTATAGAAAATAGTTTTTTAAATAGAAAAATTAATTTTTAATGACACAAGAATTAAGGCCTCAGCTATAATTTCAACTTAAAAAAAATATACTCCAAGTAGAAACATGGGACCTTCACTTTCTCAGTGGAAAACAACCATCCCAGAAGATTTTCTAAAAGTTAACACAATTCTTTTAGAGGACAACAATATTTAAGTGAAATATTTATATTTATTAACCAAGGACACAACCAAAACTAAGACTATTAAAGTTGACCATAATATTGACAGTTAAGTCATATCAACATGGTAAAGAAATTTTAGCTAGAGTTAATGAAAAGTTCCATTGAGTCTGTAAGGAAAATACAAATTCTAGCACCACTAAAGTAATAATTGGACCCTTTCAAACAATAGGGAAAGTATAAACACCAGTATAAATACCCTAATTTGGAGGCAAAAAATATAAATTGTATGCTGAACTCTGATGTATCACTGAACACAGGTAGTACCTTTTAGTTTCACTGCTTTAGACCCAAGGCTGTAGACTATTACCACCACCCAGGAACTGCAATGATAGGTTCTATCCAATGACTAACTGGAATTAAAGTATATAGTATGACCCTCTGCCTATCAGCAGAACAGAGACTAATGGAACATTTAACTTTCTTGATGTAATTACACAATAAAACCAAATAAACCTTGGCTGGGAAGGGACCAGTTCAGAGACATCAATTTTCAATCAAACTACATAAATTAGCAAATTCAGAGGGGTCAAGTTTCCCTCGATTACAATGTATCAAAACAGCAATTACACAGTGCCTTTTAAAGGCTACACTCTGAGAAAGAAAGTCAAGAGAAACATAGTTTTACTTCATTTTACAATTTACTAGCTCTTCCAGTGTTTCAGAGAGATACAGGGTTTCAAAGATCTAACATGAATGAGACATCATGGGACAGAAAGTGGACTTAGAACATACTGAACAAACATCTTGATTGAATCAGTCTACTGGTATAGTTTTTCAGTCTACTGATGTAGTTTTTCAATCTACTGGTGTAGTTTTTCAGCCTACTGTAACTAGTGATGTCAGTCTTCCAACCAGGCGATTTTATAATTCACAGGGGAACCTAAATATCCTAAAATTAAAGAAAAAAAAGTTAATTTACTTATAACCTAAGTTTTAATACCTGCATTCATCTGTTACCTCAATGTTAAATCTGTATTTATTTGCCCACATTCTAATCTATTCCCCCTAATGAAGACCTCATCTGTTCCTTGTCAGTGGCTCAATTACAATGTGAAGGGTACCTTAGGGATTCATTCAGCCAACAATTATCACAATATTTTATTTTCCTCAAAATCTGATAATTTATGGCTCCTAATAATAGTCAACCAAAAACATCTCTTTACCAAGAAAAGAACACTTGGAAGCACTGATTAAGACTGTGGTGAGCCAGGCGCAGTGGCCCATGCCTGTAATCCCAGTGGCTTGGGAGGCAGACACAGGAAAGGTGAGGCCCTAAGCAACTCATTGAGAACCTGTCTCTAAATAAAATACAAAAAATGGCTGGGGATGTGGCTCAGTGGTTGAGTGCCCCTGGGTTCAATCCCCAGTACAAAAAAAATGTGCTGGGGGGGAAAAAAAGACTGTAGTGAATGAAAATTAGAGAAAGAAGTACCAATATTGGCCAAGGGTCAAGAGCAGAGTGCACTTGCCAGGTAGTCTCATGAATAAAGTAACTATTGGGATTTTCTGTTTCTCTCCACTCTTAGGTTGAAATATGTGAGAAAGAGGATTGACTACTTATGATCTTTAGGTTGCAATATACATGTAAATATGTAAATCCATAGGAGTTTTTCTGTTGCATAAACACAGAAAGCATACACAGAACAAGCTAGGTTCTTCTTTTCTGGCCAGGCCTTTGTATATACAGAACTAACTTACCTAATGCAGGGCTCACACAGCATCAGCAAGACTGGAATATGCTACTGGACAAGACGTTGGCAAACTCAGTCCATGCAATACATGCACAGGCTGGAATAAACATTAGTGCTAACAGAGCTGAGAATCAAAATGAACGCACCTTTAAGTTGCAGAGAAATAAGCCCTTGTTCTTTTTTTTTTTTTTTTGTTCACACTATCTCATACTGGTTATTTGTTATGGCACGAGAGAGGTAGTAGGCTAGAAAGATTCCAACTAGCTGAAAAGAGAATACAAACAATATTAAACACACATACATGAGAGAGCTTGAAGATCTCAGCATACATATGTATTATTCTTTTACTTTTAATTCACCAACAATTTTTGAGTTTTTATAGTTATTTTTGATGTTCTACAGACTCTAAATCACATTCAAAGAACATAAGTTTTACTATTACTGTGACCCAGAATTTCACTACTGGCACTGAAGGAAAATTCAGGAGTCATGAGTTTTTAAGTAACCATCGGTGATTTCCAGGGAAAAAATAAGGATATGGCTTAGAATAAGCAGCTTATCAAGTAAAACCTCCATTGATGAGGGCATTGATTTTCTTGAAAAGCAGTGCTGTGATAATGTAAATGTTCTAGAATATTCATGTTGTTCAATATAGTAGCCACTTACTCTATTATGGTTACTGAGCATTTTGGGGCCAGAGTAGCTGAGATTTTGATGTTATTTAATAATTAGAAGTGCTCAAAACAGGCCACTGGCTTCTGTTATTAGTACAGATTTAGATAGTTCTATATGCTACTTTATAAATATATTAGGACTACCCTTGGATTAGTCTTTATTTTTAGAATGTTGAATATAAGGGACAAAAAGTCCATGCCCTAAATAAATAATTTAAGCCACAACACAATTTTTTCATGCTACAGCAAGAAGCATACTTAGGAAAGACAACTCAACCTAAACATAATGTCCACAAAAAAAAAAGGCACATATTGAATGTGGAGTTGTGTGATCTTAATTTTCATAGGCTGGAACTTATATGCAACTCACTATGGTAGCTGCAATCCAGGAAAGATCCTGATGATTTCAGAATCTTGAATGATTGCTAAAAAAAAAAAAAAAAAAAACAAGGTTCCTATCCATCTCATGTTTGTTTAGTTAACTGAGATGTCACTGGGTCTTTCTTCTAGTTCATGCCTTGAAACATCAAAAGCCATGGTAATGATAATAAAAATGTAGACAACTCTGTAGTTGTGGAAAGTTGTGAAGAAAAACCTAAGATACAAGATATAGTCCCTCCTTAAATAAAACAAACCTAAAGAATGACCCAATCAGGGCTGGGGTTGTAGCTCAGTGGTAGAGTGCTTGCCTCGCATGCATGAGGCACTGGGTTTGATCCTCAGCACCACATATAAATAAATAAAAATAAAGACATTGTGTGCATCTACAGCTAAAAAACTTAAAAAATTTAAAAAAAGAATGACCCAATTACAAATCAAAATCAATACTATGTGTTATGGTTTGGATGTGAGGTGTCCCCTGATAGCTCATGCATGAGTCAATTCAAGAAGTTTTATAGGAGAAATGGTTTTGTTATGAGAGCCTTAACCCAATCAATGAACTCATCCTCTGATGGGATTCACTGAATGGTAACAGAAGACAGGTAAGGGTGTGCCTAGAGGAGGTGGGTCCCTGGCGGGGGTGCCTTTGGGATATATTTTGTATCTTACTAGTGGAGTATCTCCGCTCTCTGACCATCATTGGTGCTGTGTCCCTTTGCCATATTCTTTTGCCATGATGTTCTGCCTC